TAAGTGAAATAGAAGAAGACAAGTACAGAGGTGCTATGATAAGAAGTAAAGCAAGGTATACAGTTGAAGGGGAAAAATGCACCAAGTTATTTTTCAATTTAGAAAAAAGTAGGGGAAAAGCAGATGTAATAAAAGAAATAATAGGGAAAGATGGGAGAAGAGTTAAGGAAGCAAAATAAATACTTAAAGAAATAAAGGACTATTATGAAGACTTGTTTAATGGAAAAGGAATAGATCAAATGAGGAAAGAGTTTTTATTAGAACATATCACATCAAGAGTAGAAGAACAAGACAAGGAAGCAGGAGAAAAAGAGATACAACAGGATGAAATTGAAATGGCAATATTGCAACTAAAAGGAGGGAAAAGTCCAGGAGTAGATGGTTTAACGAATGAGTTTTATAAGGTTTTTAAAGATAAGTTAATACCAATTTTAAAAGAAGTATATGATGACATTTTTAAGAAAGAAGAAGTGAATCAAGTTATGAGGATGGGTTTAGTGAAAATTATATATAAAAAGAGAGGGGACAAATCAGCTTTGAATAATGTTAGACCTATCACAATATTAAACAGTGATTTTAAAATTTTAGCTAAAATCTTAGCAAACAGATTGAAGAATATTTTACCAAAAATAATTGAAACAAACCAAGCATATGCTGTTAAAGGAAGAGATATATCGGATACGATTAATAATGTGAGAGACATGGTAAGCTACACAGAAACGGAAAAGAAGAGTGGTTATGTTATTACGTAGTCTGGATTTAGAAAAGGCGTTTGATAGAGTGGAACATGAGTTTTTATTTGATATTTTAAAGAAATTTGGTTTTGGAGAGAATTTTATTAAGTGGATTAAAGTTTTATATAAAGGAGCAATGAGTAAGATAAAGTGCAATGGGTTTTTAACAAATGCTTTTAAAATAACAAGGTCAATTAGACAAGGTTGTCCATTGTCACCTCAACTTTATTATTTGGTAGCTGAGCGCTTAGGCATTGCTATCCAAAGAAATATAGATATTAAAGGAATAAAAATTGGGGGTAACAGAAGCACAAAAAGTCTTTCAATATGCGGATGATACAACTTTAATAGTGAAAGATGTGGAAAGTATAAGTAAAGCAATAGAGACTGTGCAAACATATTGTAGAGGTTTTGGGGCAAAGGTGAATGTGGAAAAAACTGTGTTCATGAGGACTGGAGAAGCCAAAATGTTACCAACTAATTTAGCTTTTAAAGAAGAGGAGCACATGAAAATTTTAGGAATAAACTTTGGGAAAGATGAGAAGAATAGTGTGAATATGACGTGGGAGGAGATATTGGGAGGAATGGAAAGAAGATTACATTTTTGGAAGCAAAGAAATTTAAATCTGAAAGGGAAGGTCCTAATAGCAAACACCCATCATCAACTCATCCCTCCACACTGGCATTTTCCCTACAGCATTCAAGCAGGCTCGGGTAACTCCATTGCTTAAAAAAACAACGTTAAACACATCACTTTTAGTGAATTACAGACCTGTCTCTCTCCTACCATCCATTGCGAAAACACTTGAACGAGTTGCTTTCAACCAAGTATCATCTTTCCTGTCTCTGAACAACCAGCTGGATGTCAACCAATCTGGCTTCAAGAAAGGCCATTCAACCGAGACTGCATTGCTGTCGGTCACCGAAGCCCTGCGGATCGCAAAAGCTGCTTCCAAATCATCAGTTCTCATCCTCCTGGATCTGTTTGCTGCCTTCGACACTGTGAATCATCAGATCCTTCTGTCCACCCTCTCATCACTGGGCATCACAGGTACTCCTCTCCACTGGTTTGAGTCCTATTTCACAGGTAGGTCCTTCAGGGTCACATGGAGAGGTGAGGTATCCAAAGCACATCAACTGACCACAGGGGTTCCCCAGGGTTCAGTGCTTGGACCGCTCCTCTTCTCCATTTACACCACATCACTGGGACCATCATACAGGCACATGGTTTCTCTTACCATTGCTATGCTGATGACACCCAGCTCTACCTCTCATTTCAACCAGATGATCCCACAGTAGCTGTACGGATCTCAAGCTGTCTGGCGGACATCTCAGCATGGATGAAGGAACATCACCTGTTCAACCTGGCAAAGACTGAGCTTCTCATCCTCCCTGCCTGTACTGAAGGTGGACTGGTTCTTAGGTAGACTTGGTCATCGCCATGGTGTGTCGGTAAGGACACGGAGACAGGATAAATGACTTTAATGTCCATCAAGTTCACTGTTTACATTAGAATGGATGGTAACTTAGGTGCTTGTGTATATGTGTCGTCTAAACAAAGGAAAGAAGAAATAAATTACGTAAATTAAGTGAGTCTCAAATAACATAACATTACCACATGTAAATTACTAGATAACATAGCAGATGTAAAGCTGTACTAAGCATTGTAACACAATATACATAAATAATGTACATCATTAAACTTGTTAGCTTCATGAACCAAATACACATGCAAATGCCTGGTCAATATACATTGAGTGTACATTTGACAGATTCATCATACACATAATCAAACTAACATTTCTATTAGGCGGAAATATGACACAATGGCCTAAACGGGTTCACATAGCACGATTCCAAATAAATGTATTCGGGTTTAGGCGCTTCTGTTTATACGAACATTCGCTTGGGCGGAGCCGCGGGTCTTTCGTGCTTCATTTTATCATATATAAACAACTCAGAGGCTAGTCTTGATCAGCAGCAACAACAGCAATATACAAGATAAATAAACACTTACTTTTAGTCATTGACGCACACGACTCAAGCAGGAATTAGGAAGAAATTAACACACGAACCAACTCTCAATGATAAAGCGAAGCGAAACTAAAAGTTCTCCACACAGTCACCCGACCAATGCTGTGGTTTGATTGGCTGTCCATCAGTGATCAGGGCATGACAGCGTGATCGGGGCATGATCACTATGTCGGCTTGTTGGTATATTTGTTAAATGTATAATAAAGTTTTCCAGCAGATGGCGCCGCTGACCTCCTCTTCTACACTGCCAATCCGTCTCTACAGCACGACTTCACTATCCAGCTAGATTCTTCCTCAATCACCCCATCAAGGTCAGTCAGAAATCTTGGAGTAATCTTTGATGATCAGCTGACCTTCACAGACCACATCACAAAGACAGCTCGATCATGCAGGTTTGCTATGTACAACATCAGGAAGATCAGGCCTTTCCTAACTGAGCATGCAACACAACTTCTCGTCCAGGCCCTGGTAATTTCTAGGCTTGATTACTGCAATGCTCTTCTGGCTGGACTTCCATCATGTGCAACTAAACCTCTACAAATGGTCCAGAATGCTGCAGCTCATCTGGTCTTCAATGAGCCCAAAAGGGCCCACGTCACTCCTCTGTTCATCTCTCTGCTCTGGCTATCACTCGCTGCTCGCATCAAGTTCAAGGTGTTGACACTTGCTTACAGATTGACCACAGGATCAGCTCCCTCCTACTTCCACTCACTACTACAAGTCTACATCCCTACCAGAAGCCTACGATCAGTCAATGAGCGACGGCTCGTGGGACCATCACAGAGAGCCTCAAAATCACTCTCCAGAACATTCTCATTCACGGTACCATGCTGGTGGAATGATCTGCCCACCCTCATCCGGAATGCAGAATACCTGACAGCATTCAAAAGACAACTGAAAACTCATCTCTTCCGTGAGCACTTAACATAATTTTTTTTTTTTTTTTTAATCTTTCCTTTTCCTTTAAATCCTCCCTTGTCTGGCTTATGCTACTCCGAGCAATGTCTGAACTTTGTATTTTGAGCACTTCTTGCGTTGTTTTTGTCTCTTCACGATGAGTCGCTTGGTTTAGTCCTCAGTTGTAAGTCGCTTTGGATAAAAGCGTCTGCTAAATGACTACATGTAAATGTAAAATGTAAATGTACCAAAATGTGGTATGTGTTATCAGTAATGCCAATACAAATATGGGCGGATAAGAGATTAAAAAAATGTATTCTAAACTTTTAATGGGATGGCAAGCCTTCGAGAATAGCATATGATACGCTAATTGGACCAGTCGAGAAGGGAGGTATTGGATTGATGGATGTGGAGCAAAGAATTTTTTTTTTTTGAGAATTAACCCTCTGGGGACCAAGAACGCGCCCGTGCTGTTTTTTTTTCCACATAGCAGCAACATAGACTTAAAATACTCTGTCATTTATGGTCATATAAATAAAATCAATACATGATTATAAACTATAGAGGGTCTTCTTTTTTTGTGTACACTCACATTAACATCAAAACCTTGTGTTTTTTTTAAAATAAATAAAATAAACAGGGTGCGCTTTCAGCTCACTCTGTCTCTGCAAAAATCTTTCTGAAACATGTCTGGAAAATGAACGGAAACTCCGCTAATACTTATCACACAAACATGAAACATACGTCTAAAGAACACTTTAAATTTCTACTTTTAAATAAAACAATTCACATTTAAAACAAATATTCTCCTGCAATGTAATCTGTCTGAAACTAAAGAGAAGTACAGTTTCTCCTGTCTCAGCTCATTATCGTTAATTTGTTCACACCCACTCGCAGAGCGCGCTATTCATAAGATGATGTGTTGAGGCCATTTGCAAAATAGATAAACGCCCCCAGGCAAATGCTGTAAGCACACAATATTTTTTAGTCAGATTACAGTTTTTTACAATCACTTTGTTACTATTTTCAGAACCTTGATGTCATTTTTCACAACTCTAGACACAAAACTCACAACCAATTATCAAAATGCACATTTTTCAAAACTCTAACCATTTTCTCAATTGTTTGGATACAATACACATAAAACTTAGATCATTTGTTCATTCAACAAAAATCACTTGTTCAATATGACACAACTTAACATCAAAGTACTACTATTTCAAAAGGCAATTCACACATTACATTTCAAATGAATGTCTATTCATTTCCTTACACTGATCTAACTATCAATTGATACAACTGCTCAAAATGATAAGTAACTGTTGCGTTACTCTTAATGCATAGTTGTATGGAAACAGACAAACAATCTTCCATGTTTACAGTAAATCATGAAAGTTTCAAGATAACGAGATTCATTGTCACCAATTAGCGTGGAGCATGAACCAATTAGACTACAATATCCATGGATGTAGCCTAATATTTTATATCATACTGTAATGCTTCATCAGACACTGTGTCTATGGTCCCAAATACTGTACCACCTTTTCAGACTATTTAAAGTATTGACAGTACTGCACTGTAGAGATGCAGGCCCTTGGAATTGCTTGTCCAATTCTGCCAACTCGTTACTGATGATTGAGGGCACATTGTGGAATGAGTATATAAAGAGTTGATTGGGATCCAATTGCAAGAGCATAGTGATACGTAACATGGAGCCAGCAGGTGATCCAGGTCACAATGGAGGTCAAGCAGTGGTGGGAGGAAGACGAGGAAGACGTGTTGGTCAAAGGAATGGTAGGGGACAGGCAGCCCTTCTGAGAGGTGGTCGTGGGCCTCGTTTGAGAGGTGTGGGGGAACGTGGTAGAGGACAGGCACCCCTTCTGAGAGGTGGTCGTGGGCCTCGTTTGAGAGGTGTGGGGGAACGTGGTAGAGGACAGGCACCCCTTCTGAGAGGTGGTCGTGGGCCTCGTTTGAGAGGTGTGGGGGAACGTGGTAGAGGACAGGCACCCCTTCTGAGAGGTGGTCGTGGGCCTCGTTTGAGAGGTGTGGGGGAACGTGGTAGAGGACAAGGCCACGGACCAAGACAGCGGCAGCAACAGCATAGAGTGTCCAATGAAATTCGGGCAATAGTTGTAGACCATGTCATAAATCATGGCATGACAATGACTGAGGCGGCTACAATGATACAACCAAACCTGAGAAGGTCAACCGTGGCCTCAATAATCAGAACTTTCCGCAATGAGAACCGGTAAGTTATCAGCATGCACTAAACATTATGCTACTCTCAATTGTCAAATGACTGCATACCAATGTGTATCACAGAATAGGTGATGTGACCAAGTGTCTTCTTACTCTAATGTTCCCTGTAGAATTGTGACTAGGCCAAATAGTGGAGGCAGAGGCAAAATTCTAACTGACCAGCAAGAGCAGGCTGTGGTCGATTTGGTTCGGGCCAGAAATGATATTCGCCTTAAAGAAATTCGCCAGCATATCTTGGACAATGAAGACATGTTCAACAATGTGGGATCCATAAGTTTGCCGACTATTGCACGCATACTGAAAAGGCACCAGGTATCTATAAAACAACTATACCATGTGCCTTTCGAAAGAAATGCAGACAGAGTGAAACAAATGAGGACTGAGTATGTTCAGGTAAGTTCAGTTTCAAGACGGCTGTTGTAAAAACATTCCCAAAAATTCTACATTGTACGGTAATCTCTAAATCTCTTTCCAAAATGTATTTTTAGAGGGTGATGGAGCTGGATGCTGATGACGACCATCACAAATTCATATATTTGGATGAGGCAGGTTTTAATCTGGCCAAGACAAGGAGGAGAGGTCGGAATTTCATTGGCCAGCGGGCAACCATCCAAGTACCTGGACAACGTGGGGCCAACATTACCATGTGTGCGGCTATATCAGAAGATGGTGTGGTGGGACGCAGACCTCATATTGGACCATATAATGCAGCTCTCCTTGTCACCTTTCTTGATGAGCTCGAACAGGTTTGTAGAGCTGAAGGTGTGACCTATGTCATTGTCTGGGACAATGTCAGGTTCCATCATGCTCATGTGGTGCAAGCATGGTTTCAGGCCCATGCACAATTTACCACCCTGTATTTACCCCCATACTCCCCCTTCCTTAACCCGATTGAGGAATTTTTCTCCGCATGGAGATGGAAGGTTCATGATAGGCACCCTCATGAACAAGTCACTCTTCTCCAGGCCATGGATGACGCCTGCAATGACATCACAGCAGACCAGTGTCAGGCCTGGATTCGCCATGCCCGAAGGTTTTTTCCAAGATGTTTGGCTAATGAAAACATCCATTGTGATGTAGATGAGAACCTGTGGCCAAATCCACAACACAGAGTTGATGACAATGTAGAAGTACAGTAATCACTGCTGTTTTATTTCTTACAGTGCAAGCAAGTTGAGGAACACTGCATTTGATGGTTTACAGTACTGTCTTTTCTTTTCTATTTCATTGCATTTGATGGTTTACAGTACTGTCTTTTCTTTTCTATTTCATAGCTAATTACTGTATTTTTGCTTTGATTAAAATAAACCAATGTTGTGATTGTACTGTAGTGTTTTGCATCAATATATTACAAACTTTGTTCAATGATTCCACTTTGTCTGTATTCTCTCTACTACTGCAGTACTTTACAGTAACAGAGGTATTTACTGTACATGTAGTACCATAATGAAACCTGTATCACCTATTTTGTTCTACAATAGTTAATGATTGTACGAACAATGACAGAGTGAAACTATCGGTTGCTTGTGTGTGGGTGATCTATAGTTGTGTTTCAATGGTATTTCACAGTAAATTTGTTTTTTGAACCAATGATTGTGCAAGTGCAAGATTTCTTTAAAGATGTGAATGCACAATGCAATGTTTTGAACATTAGACAACCTGTGTTACAAGTGATAACCGTTTTGAGTTTTGTGTCTAGAGTTTTGAAAAATGACATCAAGGTTCTGAAAATAGTAGCAAAGTGATTGTAAAAAACTGTAAGATTCGTCTTGCGAATTCGTATTCCTTCTATGAGGAATAATCCTGGGACATTTACCACAGAAGTGCTGGTTTATTTTCACTTCGAGGAGGAGCAACAGATTCAGCTGAGAAGTGTAAGTGTTTTGTGCTATGTTCTAATCGCGATATAGAATAACGTTAGTGTCTGTAAACGGAAAAATAGCATAGCCTACTGTTTAAATGTGAATCATGTTTCTGTGTGTGTGTGTGTGTGTGTGTGTGTGTGTGTGTGTGTGTGTGTGTGTGTGTGTGTGTGTGTGTGTGTGTGTGTGTGTGTGTGTGTGTGTGTGAATGAATGAATGAACGCACAGATACGCATTGTTACAGACGAAATAAAAGAACATTTCTTTGACTAGTTTTGGATAAAGTTTTTCAAATCAAATAAGCTTCAAAATAAAGACATCAAATAAGCTTATGTTTTGTCAATAAACTAATCAACTAAGATGTTTGTTCCAATGCAAGCTATATGAAAATAATGAATCCTCAACTTTGAAATATGTATGATCAAACTAAGACATTTATGGAAAAAGACTATTTTCTTTTCAAGATGTTTCCAACTCTAACTTTGAACTGAAATAAAACCATGTCTTTATGGTGAAGGGTGTGTGATAGAAGTGTCCAGACGTATGCACCCTGTATTTTAAAGAAGAACATTTAATTATTTGCGATACATTATTCATTCACAAAGAATTCAGGGACATTATTCATTTCCCTAAAGGTTGGAGTTTTCCTCATTTTTTAAATTAAGGCATTAAGGCCTCTTTTTAGTCAACTTTAGCAAGGGTGTTTTCACTTATTCTAAGCAGTGTGTGTGTGTATATATATATAAAATTAAAAAGCAATTTTAATCAGAAACCAGTCCTTTGTTGTGTATCTTTGGATTATGTTGTGTTGTAAATAAATCCAAACAATCTAAAAGCCATTCTTTTTTAAATCTCCTCATTCTTTGTGCAAGGCTCCTCGTAATGATAGGGCCTGATAGCACCTAATAGGGCCATTATGGGAGGGTCTTTGTCTTTCTCAGGTGTGAAATCCCATACATATTAATGAGAGATCACGCCTCCTCGCATAAAGCTTTCTCACACTAAACACGTCATACACATTATAAAAGACTTGATTGACTTATCTGAATGAGTAGTCAGGATGATTCTCACATAGTTTTGGAGCAAATATTCTAGGCTATGTGATACAATTTTCAAAAGTCTTGTGAAGAAATAATCAATATGTGTTTTGTGGCCTTATTTCAGAAACTTTTATTTTTAAGTTTTTCAATAACCATGCATAAATAATATTCTCTCAAAAATACAAACATGTACATACATGTTGCTCAAATATTATGGTAGCCCCGTTTGTGCTAAATAGAGTGAATTTACACCGTTGCCATTAACATGTTTATAAATAACTGAAAAAAGCACAAATGTCAGTGCATGTCAAAACATCCCAAGGGCCTCAAAAAAAACCTTGGTAAAATAGTAAGGACATATTTAAATGAAGAAAATAAGGGTGACTGGAAAATAATAATGAAATATTTTCTGAATAAATGTGGAGACATGGGGCTGGAAGATGATATTTTGTGGATGAAACTGAAAAAAAGAAGTATAAAGGGGATTCCGGATTTTTATAAAGAAGTTTTAGATGCGTGGATTGATTTTTTACCACGTGTCTCTTTTAACCCACAAGGAAGAGAAGTGATTATAAATCAACCATTGTTTTTAAATAGATACATTTTATTGAAAAACAAAGAGGTTTTTTATAAAAAGTGGTTTGAGGTGGGGATTAAAAAAGTTAAGGATGTTTTATATGAAGTAAAAGAGGGGTTTTTGCCAATACAAGTAGTAGTAGATGCTAGGGTTGAGGCAAAAGAAGATTTTGAGATGACTATTTTAAAAAAGCAATATGAGGATTTAAAACAAGCAATACCAAAAGAATGGGTTAAAAGAATAGAGTAAAGAAAGGGAAGATAACAAAATGGAGGTTTTATTTAAAGTAGAGGGAAAGCATTTGGATTTTAAATTGTGTACTGTGAAAGTGTTTTATATTTGTTTTAGAGATTCTGTTTTTAGAAAATCAATAGCAAACCAATTCTGGCAAAAGATATTTCCTGAAATTGATGAGAAGAAGATATGGAGTAATATCAATTGGAAGTATTTGGATACCAAAGTAGAATGTTTGGACTATTATATAAGACAAAACTTGATTTTTTCAGAAATGAGGTTGTGTAAAATTGGAATGGCACAGAATGCAATATGTAAAGTGTGTGAGGAAAAGAATGAAGGAATTTTACACTTGTTTTTATATTGTACAGAACTGGAAGAATTGATGGGATTTTTAAAGAAAATTATGCCAAAGTTAATGGGAAATGTCGAGGAAGAACAAATTAATTGGAATGAAATAATGATGTTTGGTGTCAATGTTAAGTGTAAAAATAAGAAAGTAATAAATGTAATGTTTGCATTGGCAAAGTACTCAATATGGAGTAGAAGAAACATTGTGAAACAGAAGAAGTTAAAAATAAATCTATGGATGTTATTCAAAAGAAAATTGGAGGAGTATTTAGAAATACTGTACAGTTACTTGGAAATGGAGGATAGGGTGGACTATTTTGAAAATTTTGTGACTTCAGAAGTATGACACATCTTGAGTACTGTGAAAGTAAAGCTGCCACTGTAAAAATGCTGTTTTGAGAAATGAAAAATGAGTGGTAAATGTTCGAGGTTTTTTGGGTTGATTTGTAAAAGGTGTTTTACAACTTGTAAAAGTAAATGTATTTTACGTGCTTATAAAAAAATAAAAATAAAATAAAACAAAGAATGAGAGATGTAATAAAAAATTTAAACAAGCATCCGACTTTTAATCTGAGGGTCCAGGGTTCAAGTCCCTGTTCGGGCGATCGAGCCTCTTTTTTTTGAGGAGCGCAACGTTTTGCTGTTGAGTTCGTGCACTGCGCCTGCACTGGCCTCGGGCAGCGACGCTGCAAGGCACCAAGCGAAATGACAAGCCTCCTTCAGCCAGCTTGTAGTCGTGGCCGAGTGGTTAAGGCGATGGACTAGAAATCCATTGGGGTCTGAGCCCCGAAGAGAACGCGGAAGCTGTGAATTATGTTCATTCCTCTCTCTGTCTGAAACTGGAGGTACGTTCATGTGTGTGTGCATCTCTCTCTGTCTGAGCCCCGAAGAGAACGCGGAAGCCGTGAATTATGTTCATTCCTCTCTCTGTCTGAAACTGGAGGTACGTCCATGTGTGTGTGCATCTCTCTCTGTCTGAGCCCCGAAGAGAACGCTGAAGAAGAGAACGCGGAAGCTGTGAATTATGTTCACTCCTCTCTTTGTCTGAAACTGGAGGTACGTCCATGTGTGTGTGCATCTCTCTCTGTCTGAGCCCCGAAGAGAACGCTGAAGAAGAGAACGCGGAAGCTGTGAATTATGTCCATTCCTCTCGCTGTCTGAAACTACGGAGTGTCCCCAAAGAGAGAATGTTCCAGAGACTTTTTTATTTTTTAATAAAGAAGACATATTTATTTTATTCCCTTTGTCTGCCTCATGTGTCCCACGGTCATGCTCCTCGGGGCGGTGTTCCGATTTGAGGGGGAGGGCGGCCCGCTGGCGCTCACACCCCGACCTGTGACACATAAGTATCTCCTTATACATATACAATTATTATATGCTGCCTCTTTGGCTAGGCTATTTTGATCAATCAAATCTCATATGGGTTATTCTTATCTCAAAAGAATTCTCACCCTCCGATGTCATTCTCTTCAGGAAGGGTCCTCCCGGCCCAATTAAAAGAGTGTGACTAACACTCAATGATCCAAGGTCCAGTCAGATGATTATAATAAATGTTACAAAATTTATTACAATAATCAAATGAAAATGAATACTTGTTACAGATCATAAATGAGTATTAACTAACAGATGGATACTAGCTAGGCTTGAAGCTTCTCGCCTCTGACAACTGCTGGCGTGTCAAAGTGGTGGTTGCAAGGAAGAGCGAAGATCTCCTCTTCGTCCCCTTCTTTCATACAGTTCATATTTGCAGAATTAACACATACGTAAAAAGCATCGCAGTTGCTTAGAAGCAGCTCATATTTTCCTTTTAAGGACACACATGCAAGAGTTTCACTGTAGGTTAAAGACAACTCATGCTTCCTTTATGCTTGCAGAAATCATATCTATTCAGAGATGGTTATCACTTTTTACCTAACACAACAAGTTCCCATGAATCATCGTTCAACTAACGATTATAACCTTTTAACCCCTGAAATAGAATTTCGAACACAGTACAGGTTTTTCATATATTCAGCCTGTCCATTACATCCAATAACTCAGACAGTTCCTTCAGTCGTTCCTCTTTGCTTTGCATCACATATTTTTTCTTATTATGCCCTTTTCGATTTTTGCTC